ATATAATATTCTATTATTATATATATTATATTAGCTAGCAATAATCTTTAACTGTTGACTCTGAGTGGTCTAATGAATTCTGGAGCAATCCAACAGGTAAGTTTAGTGCATGTTTAGCTCGGTTGCTTTATTTGAAGTGATGCATTTCCCTGGAGCTCCCCCTCCCCTGTGGGCAGTGCCCCTGGCAGAGGTGGCACTGCCCTGTCCCTAACCAGGAGCCCCTTTCTTTGGCAGCTCTGCCCAGCCACACGTGTGGGAACCCGGGAAGGCTCCAGAACGGGATCCAGCAGGGAACCACCTTCAGCCTCGGGGACAGAGTGAGGTACAGCTGCAATCCAGGCTTTTTCTTGGAAGGCCATGCCCTGCTGACGTGCCAGGCCAGCTCCGAGAACTCTGCCTCCTGGGACTTCCCTCTCCCCGTCTGCAGAGGTACCAGCAGCCCTCCCTCCCTCCCTCCCTCGGGAAAATGGGATTTTGGGAGCTCTCTGGGGGTGGGAAAACTCCCCGGAGTGTGAGGGGGGTTTAAAAGGCTTGAAAACTGAACGTGGTGTGGTTGATGTTGAGGTTCCTCTTTGCTGGGTTTTGTTGGGGTGAGGGGTTGGAAGGTGATGAAGGAAATGCTGCCCAGCTGCTTTAAGTGCCATTTCTTTGGATAAACTGGGGGGAAAAAAAAAACCAAACAACTTTACGAAGGTGTGAAGTGACAGGCCAAGGGGAAATGGCTTTAAAATGGAAGTGAGTAAGTTTGGATTAGTTATTAGGATGAAATCCTTCCCTGGGAGGGTGGGGAGGCCCTGGCACAGGGTGCCCAGAGGAGCTGTGGCTGCCCCATCCCTGGAAGTGTCCAAGGGCAGTTTGGAGCAAGCTGGGACAGTGGGAGGTGTCCCTGCCCATGGCAGGGGGTGGCACTGGATGGGCTTTAAGGTCCCTTCCAACCCAAATCCTTCTGGAATTCTGTGACTGTCCATAAGACCCAGCACCTACCCAGGACCGGGGAGGTTTTCCTGGTCAAATCCTGCCTGGATTTCCTGCTCTCTGTTGGATTTTTCTCGTGGCCCATTCCCTGGTGACTGTGGGGCTGTGCTGTGGGTTGGGGGCAGTGGGGCTGAGAGGTAAAACCCGACCTTCCCTTGGAAAACCCTCCCTTCTCCCTGCAAGTTCGGGGCAGGGAAACTTCAATCCCTCTCAGTGCAGGGAGTGTGCTGCTAATTCGAGTCCCACGAGGGACTGGAGAGTCTGTAAATACACAAGTGCCTGTGTTGTTCTACCAGAAACATTTGCTGCTGCTTTTGAAGTCCTTTTCCCCTCAATTCCTTGTGTACTTCAGCAGAGCATCTTCTATTGATTCTCTTTATTGACTCTGCCTGTGCAATCAATCAGCACTTCTAAGCTGCAGCAGTAAATCTGGAATTTAAAGTGAGCAAATATGGTTTGCTTGGGATGTTTTCAATGCTTGCCTGGGTTGGTTACACAGAGCTAAGAGGGGTATTAATGCTGCTCTAGTGGGTTTTTTTGGTGCACTCACCTGCTGGGTTGGGGCCAAGGGCATTCAGAGCATTGGAGGGGGGGTTCAAACAGCCAAAGTGTTGCTGGAGAGGAAGGGAGGGAGGTTCAGCTCTTCCATCAGTGCTCTGGGAATGGCTCTGCTGGCAAGTGCTGGTTCCTGGAGCAGCCACTTCTTTTCCAACACTCTTGGTCCTGATCCTGCCAGGCTTTGCCTCGGAGCTTTTACACGAAGTATTTTTCTGGGAGGCAGGAACCAGAAATATTCCCATTTTTGTAGCAGTTCTATCTCGTTCCAGGGAAGTAGAAAAGCAGCAGAGACAGCCTGCAAATTGACTTGCTGGATTTGGAAACCTGCTGCCCTCCTTCCACCCTCAGGAGGCTCCCAGGAGCCAGACAGTTGTGCTTGGCTGATAAACTGGTGTGATACAGGCTCTGGTTGTTGCAAGGGGCAGAAGGATTTGCATTCTGACAAACAGGTTTACACCTTCTTCTGCTGGGAAAAGAATGTTT